TGTGCCTTGACCAAGAATCGAACCCTGACCTCCTGGTTCATAGGTCAATGCTCAACCACTTAGCCACGCTGGCCAGGCCAGGTGTATTCTTTATTGTATCATACCCTCCTTTAATATTATTTGAAATTGCAACGCTTTAATTTTTACTAGAATCAAGTTGAACAAAGTAATTTTAGAAAGGAAATAGCATTTACTATCTTATTCCAGCACTTCATTTGCTCTTAAGAAAAGCTTTGCAAGGGAGTGTTCAGAATCTCTAGGAGATGGGACTAGTCTCCTCGATGGCAGTGCTGAAGCTTCCAAATGCTGCTGTGTTTGGGGAAGTGAAACAGTTCATTCAGTCTGGTCTATATGCTATAAGTCCTTTCCCACTCATATAAAATCAAGAAAATTTGATTATTATCCACTGTTTTCAAATACATGGTTATTGTGTTCATGTAAATTCATACATATTAAGTATGTACTTTATATTCATAATAGTTTGATGCAAGTTATGTGTCACAGTTGTAGTTCAAAGGAGGACAGGAGGCTATAGTAGCCCTGGGATGCCTTTAGAGTTTAGATAGAACTTGAGATGTCCTTGAGCGATGGTTACTCTTTGGAGCTGGAGAGGGAAGAGGGGAAGTGGCATTTTAGGTGAAGAAACAACCCTTAGGGAAGCAGGATTCATCATGGCTTGTTTGAATTTATATAGAGCCGAATGGCCTATATGAGCAAATCGTGCATGTGGGAAATAAGATTACCTAGATGAGCTGTGTTAAATTTTGTATGATTTTCAAAGGCAGTAGAATAGTTTCACCTTGATGTGGTAGGTAATTGAGAGTCAAGGAAGGCTTTTGGGGATCAGGTGAGTTAGAAAGTGAAAAGAATGTGTGAGGAACATGGACTGGGATTTATATTGTTGATAAATTAATAAGAGGAGAGATAAGAGGAAGGGGTAGAAAGTTCTGAACTGGGAGGCGTTTCAGTAAAAGTACCATAGGGAAAATAGGAACCGAGAAGAAGAAATGAATATTAAGAATTTCAAAGGAAAATTTGACATAATTTGAAGGCTGAGTGCAGAGGAAGGGTGAGTCAAGATAGCCACAGTTTTTGAGTTGTGCTTTTTATGCTGATTTGTAGAAAGAGTGTTCTTTATTGGTGAAAAATGTATAAGTCTGTTGGATTATAATCACCATGAAAGTTTAAAAAGTAGAGAAGACCTCGAAGAATGGTACCTGCAGTACCTGGAATAGTGCCTGGCAGAAAGAAGTGCTCCAAATATTTATTGAAGGGATGAAAGCACACATTTTACATGTCAACCTTTAGGTAAATTTCAGTTGCCATCTGTAAATTTAAAATATGCCGATTTTGACTACCAAAAATAACTTTTAAAATAGTACTTATTGACCTCTTTCTAGTAGCAAAAATTATGTTTATTTTAGAAAATTGGGAAAATAATAGAAAAGCACAAAGAAAGTTACAATCACATTTACTTGAGAGTGAACCACTGTTGTGTGTGTGTTTTCTATGCAAATACATATTTTAAAAATAAAATGGGATCATGCTGATTTATACCTACATAAATGTCATTTAAAAAGTAAATTGGAACAATTGGAGCTTCCAAATAGTGACAGTAACAGCTTATAACCCATAGAATAATCCATGACACCATGCTAATATGAATCAGAAGGGAAGTGTTTTTCTTACAGTAGAATGCAAAGTAATGTAGAAGGTTTGATAGAAACAAAATTTAAGCATCATGAATGGCTGCTAAAACCAGTGGGCAAAAGTTTGATGAGAAACAGGATATTAACATAGTCCAAAGTATCTCTTCTTAAGATACAGGTTAATTACAACAGGAAAAATAACTTTATAGTGGCAGACACCACCTCCTCCAAGTGATGACAGCCAGTGTCACCAGTAATGGGACAAAATTGACACCATCTCCCTTCTGCTGTGATGCACTGAAGAGGGTGCAACATCACTTCTAGGGTATTCCTGCCAAAAGTGCAAAACCTGAACTTAATCATGAAATAACGTCATGCAAACCCAATTGAGGGAAAATCTACAAATTCAATGGCTTGCATTCTTCAAAAAGTTAAGGTCATGGCCGAAACCGGTTTGACTCAAAGGTAGAGCGTCAGTCTGCGGACAGAAGGGTCCCAGGTTCGATTCTGGTCAAGGGCATGTACTTTGGTTGTGGGCACATCCCCAGTAGGGGGTGTGTAAGAGGTGGCTGGTCGATGTTTCTCATCGACGTTTCTAGCTCTCTATCTCTCTTCCTTCCTCTCTGTAAAAAATCAATAAAATATATATATATTTTTTAAAAAAGGTAAAGTCATGATAGATTGAGGAACTAAAGATTAAAGGGGACTAAAGAGACTGACAACCAAATGCAGTATTTGATCTTGGTCAGAAAAACAAAGGGTTTTCTTAGCTATAAAAGATGATAGTGGGACGAATGTGAGGTGTGATAAAGCTTATAGATTAGATGATAGTGTTTATTGATGTTAATTTCCTGATTTTGACAATGCACTGTGGTTATGTAAGAGAATGATCTTGTCTTTAGAAAATATATACTACGGTGCTTTAGCGTAAGGGATCATCATGTCTGCAACTTACTCTCATCTGGTTTAAAACACACAAATATATATATTTAGAGAGAATGATAATGCAAATGTGCTTAAATGTTAAGATATGTGGAATTTGGTTAAAGGACAGGCCTAGCTCCTTTGTACTATTTTTTGCAGTATTTGTAAGTCTGAACTTTTCTCAAAATAAGTTTTAAAAATATTTGAGCCAGAGCTGCTGAATTAGTCAGCAATGAATCAGTGAGTATTTTAATTAACTTATGTAGTATTTGTGTATGCAATGTTTGCTGACTTAGGGGGGTCACCATTCCTTTTCTGTATTTTTAACTTGTGTTAACATTTTTTAAAGTCTGGCATAAGAAAGAAAAAGGACACTGACTTAGCCATCAAGAGATGGGTTATTCTCTTAGGTGTGCAACTAATCTTTTAGTGAGACCTTGAGAAAATCACTGTCTCTGGGTCCTGGGTTCTTTTCAGAACATATTTTGGGGGAGCTGGATCAACTGACATTGATGCTAGGTTCTAGCAGTTCTGTGATGTTGGGCTCTGAGTTCACTGACACGGTCAGAACTCAGTGACAGTGTTTACTCTCAGCCACTTGGAAAAGGCCCAAGTGTTCCCACACAAGTCGGTTGAAGAGAACGAGGACATCAGAGCTAGAAGGCACCTGTTGGACCATCTAATTTGTCCCTCCACCAGCAGACCTCACTTGTTCCAGCACACCCTCTACGTTTTGACAAGTACTCTCCAGCCATTTGTTATTTTTCCAGAGACTTGACTTGTGTTTTTAGTTAGTTCATCCTTTCTTTTAGTTATTTTAAAAAATAAAAAAAGAATGTGACTTCTCTTAACTTTAAAATTTTCCAGTTATTTTATATTTAAACTTTACTTTGAAAAGCTGTAATTTGCTAATATGGCAGAGATTAATAGGCAGGTGGACTGTTTTCCTCGAGAATAACAAAAGGATTAGTTGATAAGCAGTTGGATATCAAATGGTAGCAATTATATGATCAGAAAGTGGTGGAATGCAAGGCACATTTCAGATTTTTAAGTTTGTGCGTTTAAAAAAATTTTCTTGGTTAGAAAACATAACAGGAAAGTTTCTTTGCTTTTATTAACCCTTTAAATATGATGCCCTAAAAAAGAAAGGGTGTACAGAAATATGCACTCTGACCTTTTATTGGTAAAGATGTAAATTGGTTTATTCTTTTTTTGGAGGTAATTTAACAGTATCTATTAAAAACATAAAAGATTATGCATGCTAACTTGAGTTCCATTTCTAGAAATTTATCCTTTAGAAATAATCATTGTAGCATTGTTTATAAAAGTAAAAACTTCAACAGTGTTCATTGTTAGGTTATATTAATTATGACACATCATACAATTGATTCTTATACAACTATCCAAAACTAATGTAAGAAGCTTTTTAAATGTTAATATAAAATGGATTTATGATTGCTATTTTTTAAAATTGTGATAAAATATATAAAACATACTATTTAATATTTTAACCATTTGTAAATGTACAATTTAGAAGCATTAAATACAGTCACAATTTTGTGTAACCATCACCACTGTCTAGATCTAAAACTTTATCATCCTTAACAAAAATTCTTTATCCATTAAATAATACAGAATTCCTTCCCTCTCCCAGGAGCTTTTTATATAGGGCAGGGAATACTGCCCAGATACATAATTAAATAAAAAAGGAATATTGTAAAATAGTAGGAATACTATGATTCCACTGTAGTAAATTATTATATTGACATGAGTGTAGAAAAAATCTGAGAGACTGTCTATATTAAACTGTTACTGAGGACATCATGGGAGAATTTTACTTTCATATAATAAACTTTGATAATTTTTTCTTTTAAACAATGAGTATGGCCGAAATCGGTTTGGCTCAGTGGGTAAAGCGTCAGCCTGTGGATTGAAAGGTCTAAGGTTCAATTCCGGTCAAAGGCATGTATCTTGGTTGTGGACACATCCCCAGTAGGCAGCTGATTGATGATTCTTTCTCATTGATGTTTCTAACTTTCCCTCTCTTTTCCTCTCTGTAAAAAATCAATAAAATATATTTTAAAAAACAAAAAAATAAACAATGAGTATGTGTAACTTTCTAAGCAGAAGAAAAAGAGATATACTTGAACTATTGTACTAAAATGTGGTAATTTGGATGCCTCTGATTCTACCGTGTTTCCCCGAAAATAAGACATCCTCCGAAAATAAGACCTAGCGCATGGAAAGATAAGATATCCCCTGAAAATAAGACCTAGTGCAACTTTGGGAGAAAAAAATAATATAAGACACTGTCTTATTTTCTGGGAAACAGGGTAGCTAACAAATAACAGACTTTCTATGTGGTTGCTGAATTATGAACTCATGAACCTGAACACTCTATTAAAGTAATGATTTTTCTCTTCACAGCTAGAGTTGGGAAGACATCACTGATTATGTCTCTGGTCAGTGAAGAATTTCCAGAGGAGGTAAACATTTTGATTTCTTTGCTATTTTTAAAATGTTTTAAATTTCTCAAAATTGAGTTAAAATGAAACAAATTCTGCCTTTTTTGCATGTGCTTCCTTTCTGACAGTTGTGATTTTTTAAAAAGCTCATATTATTTTATACAAGACATCCTTGAAATACTGTGTAAGAGAAAGAGTCACACTAGATCTGAGTTCACCTCAGTCCTTTGCATTTCCTATACTTTTGACCTTGGCTGGGATATTGTCATCTCTTTGCCTTATTAATCTCATTTCTAAAATGGGAGCTGAAAGGGATAATAGAAGTCATCTAATCTGTGTAATACTTTCATTTGTGTGTGTGTGTGTGTGTGTGTGTGTGTGTGTGTGAGAGAGAGAGAGAGAGAGAGAGAGAGAGAGAGAGAGAGAGAGAGAGAGAGAGAGGGAGAGATATTGTTTCTTAGACATAAAATGTTGTCATAAAACAGATGGATATTCCTTTTGTTGAAGTTAGGGCAAAAGGGCTGAATCCCCACCTGCCTTCCACCTGACACCTCCTAGTCTTTGAGGCATTAAAACAACTAGGATTATGACACACATATTTGAAACCCTTTAATATTATCCACCTCCAATCATTTTACAAATAGAAATAATTCATTCTGCCTTTGCCTACTTACCTCAAAGGATTAGTGTGGGTCTCAAATGAGATAAGCTTATAATGGGAGTGCTACTAAAAGTAAAGTGGGTTTTATTATTACTGGCAATATATTTGTTTACATTTTGGAAGTTCCAGTATGGGGGATTGCTGGTTAAGGCCCTACATAAAATCAGGATATTGTTATAGGGAATGGGATCAGTACAGATGGGATGAAAATTATTTCTTTTTATTCTCTTTCTTCATATTGCAGGTGTTATTAGTGCCACAATTTACATTTAAACCCCCTCCCCTTTTTTTTACTCTTAGGTAGGTATATCTGTATAACTTCATTATTTAGACAGGAATATGACGTATGATATAATAGTGTTTTCAACAGTGGCCATATGATCATTCATTGTTTCTTCTGCTTTTCTTCCCTCTTAAGAAACATGGTTAAATAACTACTGCTTAATTTATGAAGTGAAGTGTATTTTCCTGTGTGGTTTACAGAATTAGCAACATTAATTATGATCACCCAAAATGTAATACCTAAAAGTTTTCTATGATAATTTAACTTAGTTTAGAATTATCATTTTAGCATAGTCCTCTTGAGTGTGCATAAGGAATTTTTAATTGATTAAAAATCATCCAGTATTTCAAAAAAAAAAAATGGGATCATTAAACATAAGGCTTATTCTGTTACCAATTAGTTTTCTCCCAGAAGAAATGAATTTTTATAACATTGTTTTTATTTGAGGATTGCTTTAGATTAACATAGTTCTTCATTTGTACCGTAGGTCAAGCTTTCAACAAAATAGAATGAAAACATTAGATTTTACAATGTACAATTTAGGGGCATTAAATACATTCACTATTTTGTGTAGCCAATATCACTTTCTACATCTAAAACTTTCTTTATCCTCAACATTTAAAAGCCTAATGTTTAAAACACCAAATTAATTTACTGCATTAGGCTACATCAGATCTGAAGTATATCTTTTAAGTCCAGTGCCCACACAGGTAGAAATGTCCTTTTTTTAAAAAAGTGGTTTGTTATATACCATTAATATATATTTGCATTGTAATAAAACACAAAAACAAGCATTTAAAAGTACAATAAATACCTGTAAGAATAGGTATGGATGAAAGGAGCTAATAAATAGATACATTTACATAGTCTGTTAACAATTTTAATCAATGATATCCAAAGGTGGCCTATTTTTATTCTTTTTTTTTTTTTTTTTTTTCAAATGAAGGTTCCTCCTCGGGCAGAAGAAATCACTATTCCAGCTGATGTCACCCCTGAGAGAGTTCCAACACACATCGTAGATTACTCAGGTAATGAATGACCTATTGTAGGTGAAGCTGTAGGGTTAGTTCAGTAATAGGAAAAAATGTACCATTTCCCCTAAAATAAGACAGGGTCTTATATTAATTTTTTCTCCCAAAGTTGTGCTAGGTCTTATTTTCAGGGGATGTCTTATCTTTCCATGCGCTAGGTCTTATTTTCGGAGGATGTCTTATTTTCGGGGAAACACGGTACTTACTGAGGTTTAAAAAAAATATTAAGCAAGAGTGATCCTTTTTCTCTAGCAGTAAATGACCATTTACCATTCTTGTTTCATTTATATCTTCCTGCCAGTTCCTACTCCAGACCCACATAGACCCTCTATCTTGCAGTTCTCTTCCCTAATTTACTAAGGTGGGTTCATAGTGATGAAAAGGAAGGAGGAATGGTAAATGACAAGAAGTAGATAAGTCATTACCCTCTTTGAATTGGCATGTTTGCAGAGAGAAGTTCTGGGATAATTTGTTATCAGGCATACTGTGATGATTTGGAAAGAGTTCTAAATTTCAGAATTTGTTGATTTCTAAATTTGTTCTGTAATTTTTCAACCTCTGTCTTAAATAAAATAGTAGTTAAAACAGTCATCAAGTTGCTTACATTATATGATAATAGCACATCGGTATTGCTTATAATTTAAATCTTTTTCTATCTACTACTACTTTTTCATCATTAAATTATTGTGCTTTTTTCTGGAACTTTTTTTTTTTTAAAGAATCAGTTGTAACATGAACCACTCTGATAGGTGATGTTGACAGTGGGAAGCAATATGGAAGCAGGAGGTAGATGGGAAATCTCTGTACCCTTTACTCAGTTTTGCTGTGAACCTAAAACTGGTCTAAACAATAAAATATTTTTTTAAAATATATTTTATTGATTTTTTACAGAGAGAAAGAGAGAGGGATAGAAATCCAGAAACATCGATGAGAGAGAGACATGGATCAGCTGCCTCTTGCACACCCCCTATTGGGGATATGCCCGCAACCAAGGTACATGCCCTTGCCCGGAATCGAACCCAGGACTCTTCAGTACCCAAGCCGACGCTCTATCCATTGAGCTAAACCGGTCTTGGCCAATAAAATATTTTTTAATGGATATAACTACATTGTAATACTTTGTTTTGCCAAACTGGTATCTCATATAGCCTAAAAAATAAATGTTAGTACTGTGCAGTCAGAAACATGTGACTATTTGAACACTTGAAATGTGGCTAGTCTAAATTGAAGTGTGCTCTGAGTGTATAATACAATACAGTGAATTTAAAAGATTTAGTATGAAGCCAGAATATAAAATAGCTCATTAGTACTTTTTCTGAGTTTATATTGAAATTTTAATATTTTTGATGTTTTAGGCTAAGTAAAAGTAAGTTTACCAGTTACTTTTCTTAAGGTGACTACTAGCAGATTGAAATTACATATATATGCTTGCATTATATTTCTTTCTTTTTTTTAATTTTGATTCATTTACACTAGATGACTATTGTGTTGGCTGTTGTCATACTTTTTTTTAATATATATTTTACTGATTTTTCACAGAGAGAAAGAGAGAGGGATAGAGAGTTAGAAACATTGATGAGAGAGAAACATCAATTAGCTGCCTCCTGCACACCCCCTACTGGGGATGTGCCCGCAACCAAGGTACATGCCCTTGACTGGAATCGAACCTGGGACCTTTCAGTCCACAGGCCGATGCTTTATCAACTGAGCCAAACCGGTCCTGGCTGCTTGCATTATTTTTCTACTGGACAGCACTGTGCTATACTAAAAGCTGAGGGCAGTGGATACTTTCTGCTACAGTATCATAACTGTAGCTTAACTTATAGAATAATTTTTTTAGGTAAGTGTAGCTATATAATTAGATTTCACTTCAGTATTTAGAATTGGAACCATAACCCATTGATTATTCAACATATGAAAATATATTAAAAATTACCAGTTATTTTAGCATAATGTAAAGCGCAGTTGAACTTACATATGATATTAGTTTGTATGTCAGAAATAACAGGCATTTGGGGGGAAAACATTTAATGTAATATGATCTGAATTAATATGTCAATAATGGCTTTGCTCTTCATTTGTGTGCTTCCTCCTCCCACCTATATCATGCCTATCTCATGTACCTTGGTGTTATAGGCACATTTACCCATTGAGACCAGTTCTGGCCAGGGATATGCACTAAAGAGGGAATTCTTGACTCATCATTATCATGCTCTAGTTCTGCTTCTGGGGCCTGGTTAATATTACTCATACCTGCTATCTAGATCTTAAGCTTGTATTGCCCAGATTCTCATGTGGCCTTTTAACCTTGTTTGGGTAGATGCTTTGTCTGGGCTTCTGACTTTTCAGTACCCAGTCTTCTAGATTGGGTTTCTGATCTCTTTTGCCTGACCCTGTCGACACTGAGTCAAATGTCGGCCTAGATTTATAACAGTGCCTTTTGCTCTTCTGTGTCTGAGTTACCCTCTGGTAAACCTGTCTTTCAGTGCCAGCCAGCTTCCTTATCACCCTTCCCTTTCCCTGGCCTGCCCTTGCCTTTGCCACCTAGTCTGGCACTATACCATGACATAAGGAATAAGGAATGTTTAAAGGGATGTTAGACGGGTGTTGCATAGATTTTAGCCTGGCCATTAGTTTTTATGGGGGACATGTATAAAATATGAATCTATTTTTTACTTTGTCATTTGTAGAAGCAGAACAGAGTGATGAACAACTTCATCAAGAAATATCACAGGTGAGTGCCCTGGCCTGTTTGGGTCATTGGTTAGAGCGTCGGCCCGTGTACTGAAGGGTTACAGGTTTGATTCCGGTCAAGGGCATGTACCTGGGTTGTAGGTTTGATCCCTGCCCTGATCAGGGCACACATAGGAGGCAATCGATGGATGTGTCTATTTCTCCCACTTACCTCCCTCCTTTCCACTCTCTCTAAAAATCAGTGGGAAAAAATATCCTCAGATGAGGATTAATTAAAAACAAACACAAAATCACAGATGAGTTAAAAAAAATAGTAGTAGGTTTTTGTCGGAAAACAGTTATGATTCTAAGTCTTATTTTTTCATTCTCTCACTTATTTTATTGTTGTTGCTGAGTTTGAGAATGTATTTTTGCTGTAAGTCCTTATGAACTTTTTCCTCTTAGAGGTGTGCTAAGTTTTTCTTACTATTGCAAAAATACTATTAATTTGTTCATTTTTCTTGTAGGCTAATGTCATCTGCATAGTTTATGCTGTTAACAACAAGCATTCTATTGATAAGGTATGACTATATGACTTTTTTCACCATATTTAGTTGCACTTTCAAAATTGTGGGGGCACTTTCAAAATTGATCCCCAATTTAGAATTGTAGGGGTCTTAAGATTGGGTATTTTTCAAAGAAGATTCTATATGGCTTAGTTCTTGTTAATTTTTCATTGTAGGTAACAAGTCGATGGATTCCTCTCATAAATGAAAGAACAGACAAAGATAGCAGGTATTTTTTTCTCTCGAACTTCATATATTGAAAAATTTCAAACTTACAGAAAAGTTGCAAGAAGTAGTATAATAAACAACTATAAACACTTCACTTAAACCCACCAGTCCTTAACATTTTGCCACATTTATCTATAGGTCTATCTATAGATACATACACCAATCCTATTTCGAAAGAAATGATTTGAGGCAACACAAATATTTGAGAGCAAAGTACAGCATAGAGCTCTGATTCATAATTTCAGACATTAAATATTTTGATAATCTTGCATTTCTCTTTCTCAAACCAATGCTTGAAAAGTCTCAGCTTTCGAATTCCTCTTCAACTGCACTGTATGTCCTCTCACTTAGATGCCCATTTGATGAGGAATGACACTCTCCCTTGTCATTGACTGCTCATTGTGTGGGTGTGTAAGAGCATGGGACTTGGAGGAAAGTGAACGACCTTTGAAATCTGGTTTGGCTGCTTATGAGCTTTAAGTCTTTGACTTCAGCCCTGGCTGGCATTGGTCGGTGGGTAGAGCGTCAGCCTATGCACCAGAGGGTCTTGTGTTCAATTCCCAGTCAAGGGCACATACCTGGGTTGCAGATTTGATTCTGGCCTCCTACGGGAGGGAATCAGTTGATGTGTCTCTCTCACATGGGTGTTTCTCTCTCTCCCACTCTCTCTAAAAATCAGTGGAGAAAATATCCTGGGGTGAGGATTAACAAAAAAGAGTTTGACTTCATTGAGCCTGTTTCCTCAACTGTAAGCAGAGATGAGGATAATGCTTGTGGTTATTTTAAGAATCCAATGAAATAATGTATATGTGAGTGCTTTAAAAGTTCTCTGAAAAACTATGGATCTTCATTTATAATTTCTACAGAGAGATTTCTTTGAAATTCTTTGGAAGATATTTTCCCATTGGTTTTTAGAGTGGGGAAGGAAAGGAAGAGACAGAGAGAGAGAAAAAACACCAATGTGAGAGAAAGACACATTAATTTGTTGCTTTCTACCACAAGTGGCCCTACCAGAGCCGGGGACCAAGACTGCAACCCAGGCACTTGCCCTTGATTGGAATTGAACCCTGGGGCTGACACACTGTCTATGGAAAACAAATCAGTTAGGGCTCTGCTTCTTAAAGAATACTTTCAGTCTTTTTTTGTCTCAGGAGATCTACCCATTTTATCTAGCCAAAAACCTATGTTTTTTATTTTTATTTTTTGACTTTTCCTCAGCCTCCATTTCTAATCTAACAGCAGAATCATACCATATCACCCTATAAATATTTCGCTATGTATCTCTCAAGATAACAAATCACTGCATTTTGCCGAAACCGGTTTGACTCAGAAGATAGAGCGTCAGCCTGCAGACTGAAAGGTCCCAGGTTCGATTCCGGTCAAGGGCATGTACCTTGGTTGTGGACACATCCTCAGTAGGGGGTGTGCAAGAGGCAGCTGGTCGGTGTTTCTCTCTCATCAATGTTTCTAGCTTTCTATTCTTCTCTCTTCCCCTCTGTAAAAACCCAATAAAATATATATATATTTTTTAAATGACTGCATTTTAAAAGGTCCATCAGATCATGTCATTACCTCAGTAGCTTTCCATTTTACATTTACAATAAAACCTACTCTCCTTACTACATCTGTAAGTCCTTATGTGTCTGATCTTTGCTGCTCTCCCCAACCCCATTTCATACCTCTTTTGCTCTGGACTCTCCAGCCACTCTTTCATTGTTTTTGTTTTTTGGACTAAACAAGATGGTTTTTTAGTTTGGGATCTTTGTACATGTTGTCCCTCCTTACTGCCCAGCTCTTCCCTGGCTCTTCAAATGGCAGATTCCATTTCATCCTTCACTCCTTGACTCAGCTGCCACCGTCTTAGAAAGATTTTCCCTGATTATTACATATAATTAGTTCCCTTTCATTACTCTAGCCCATATGACCCTATTTATTTTCTTCATAGCACTTAATACAATTGGAAATAGTTTACTTGCTTATTGTCCATTTCCTAGTTACACTATTAGAATGGGGATGGACTTTGCCTTATTTCCTTAAAGCCTACAACAGTATCTGGCTTATCATAGGTACTCAATATTTGTTGAATATGCTTTCTAATGAGCTGAGCTGACTACAGTAAGGGGTTCATATTAGGGAGATAAGTAAATCTTATTAGTTAGAATGGGTTAATGTATATTAAAATATAAATCTAACATATGTTGTCTTCCTTAGTATTACAGTGTGCCCTGTTTATTTCAGGTTGCCTTTGATATTGGTTGGGAACAAATCTGATCTAGTGGAATATAGTAGCATGGAGACCATCCTTCCTATTATGAACCAGTACACTGAAATAGAAACCTGTGTGGAGGTATGCCTTGTTTGATTTTGAAATTTATGTTGGTGAATTCTCACTAAATTGAGGTTGGGAATAGGAGACTGGGGAGATGTGGGATGGAATAAATTTCCTGCTGTTTGGGAAGTCATGTAAACCAAATAAAACAGAGAACTTGAAGTTGGCCTCTTAGCTCTTTGTAGACAACCATCTTGTGATATCTACTAAGAAAAATGCTTTTTTTTTTTTTTCCAAATTGCAAAACTTTAAACTTTTTTCTTTCTTCTTAGTGTTCAGCAAAAAATCTGAAGAACATATCAGAGCTCTTTTATTATGCCCAGAAAGCTGTTCTTCATCCTACAGGGCCCTTGTACTGCCCAGAGGAGAAAGAGGTAACCCTTTCCCTCACCACCCCCACCTCCCCATTTTGTGTTAGTAGGGACTGGAATGTGTAGGTACTAATTCTAATGTGGTAGTGATTTTTAGTAACTTTTAATTTTAAGTATTATTGTAAACTTCTGTGATTTAAACTTATTGTTTATTATACTTACATTTTCTAGGTATTTTTCTTCAAATATATTTACATTAAATAATCAGAAAAGTATTTCAGATAAAATACTACTTTAGGAAATGCCATTAGAACAAACAGGAGTATTGGCAATAATAACATCAAAAAGTCCAAAGACTTTTGGTAATGGTTAGTTGCTTTGCTACTATAAAGTCCATCAACTTAAAAACCTACACAAAAAAAGAACTTGTGTAGTTATTTGACATAGGTACAACATGTAATAAAATTTGAATACTCCTTTTTGTTTCATAGCTAAGAAATACATTAATTCCTTAATGAAATATCTAAAATTAAATAATATTTTGCCTTGTACTTTTTAAACTAATTATTTTTTATTTAAAATTCACTTACCATAAAATTTACCCCTTTAAAGTGTGCAATTTGGTGGTTTTAGTATATTCACACAGTTGTGTGTTCATTACCACTGTCTAATTCCAGAACATTTCATCACCCCAAAAAGAAACCCTGTACCCATTAGTAGTTACCACCATCCCCCCAACTCTGGGCAGTCTACTTTCTGTCTGTATGGATTTGCTTTTTGTGGACATTTCATATAAATGGACTCATACAGCATGTGGTCTTTCTGTTTGACTTCTTTCACATAGCATAGTAATATTTTCAGGGTACATCCACGTTATAGATATATTAACATTTCATTTCTTTAATGGTTAGACAATACTTTATTGTATGGATATGTTTCACATTTTGTTTATCCACTTATCTATTGATGGACTTTTCGGTTGTTTTACATTTTATGGCTATCTATTTATATAAAAGCCTAAGCAACTGTTCAAACGGTAGCTATGACTTACACTGACCACCAGGGGGCAGATGCTCAATTCATGTGGTCAGTGCATTCCCACAGTGGAAGGGCTGCTCAGCTGACCAACAGGCATGCGGCTCATGTCTCCTGATCCCAGCATCAGTACTAACTAGGCACAAAGAGCAAGGCTATAATGACGCAGTGGCTGTGTGGTCATAGGCATGCCAGTATCACCCTAAGTCAGGTGTGTGGAGACCGCAGCGAAGCAGCGGCAAGCCTACTGGGCAGCAGCAGCAGCAGGTGCAGTGGGCTGGGATGAGCAGGAGCAACACGGTGCCTGGCCCTGGTTCAAGCTCCTCCCTGGCTACCTGCCACTTCTCGCACTACTTGGTGCTGTGCAGGATCAACAGGGACAGCAGGCTGAAGCCCGACAAGCTGGCGGGTAAGGCCGGGCTGCAGCAACATAGAAGTCCACTGCTCCCCTCAGGCCAGGCTGAGGGACTCCACTGATGCACGAATTTGTGCACCAGGCCTCTAGCTGTGAATATAACTGCTATAAACATTAACACACGAGTTTGAACATCTGTTTTCAATTCCTTTGTATAATTAGTAATGAAGTTGCTAGATCACTTAGTAATTCTATGTTTAACTTATTGAGGAACCACTAAATTGTATGAAGGTTCCAGTTTCTTCACCTCTTTGCCAATACTTATTCCTTCCCCTTCACCCACTTTTTTATATATTATTACTAGAGGCCCGGTGCATGAAATTTGCCTGGCCTGTGCCCTCTTGCAGTCCGGGAGCCCAACTGACAGTTTTGGCCCGCTCCCTGCCACCACAGCTGCACTCGCCAGCTGTGAGCCTGGCTTCTGGCTGAGCAGCGCTCCCCCTATGGAAGCACACTGACCTCCAGGGGGCAGCTCCTATGTTGAGCATCTGCCCCCTGGTTGTCATAGAACTGGTCGTTCCACTGTTTGGTTGATTTGCATATTAGTCTTTTATTATATAGAATAGCCATAGTGGATGTGAGTGGTATCTCACTATTGTTTTTGTTTTTGTTTTTTTTAATATTTTATTGATTTTGTATAGAGAGGAAGGGAGAGAGATAGAGAGCTAGAAACATCGATGAGAGAGAGTCATCGACCAGCTGCCTCTTGCACACCCCCTACTAGGGATATGCCCGCAACCAAGGTACATGCCCTTGACCAGAATCGAACCCGGGTCCCTTCAGTCCCCAAGCCGACGCTCTATCCATTGAGCCAAACCGGTCTCGGCTCACTATTGTTTTGATTTACATTTTCCTGGTGGGTAATGATGTTGTTCAGCTTTTCTTGTGGTTATTTTGCTATTTGTATATCTTCTTTGGAGAAATGTCTGTTTAAGATTTTGGGCTATTTCTTAAGTTGTTTGTCTTCTTACTGCTGAGTATTTAAGAAATAAAAAGTTGTAGATATTTTCAGGAAAAGTTTATAGTATAGGTGAGGGGTTGGCTGCTTTGACCAGTGAGCCACATTTGGTCTGCCCCTTGTTTTTTGTATAATCTATGAGCTAAATACATTTTACATTTTCACTAGTATTATCTCTTCTTTTTTTTTCTTTTTGGTTTTTAGAGAGAGTGGAAGGGAAGGGGAGAGACAGAGTGAGAAAAACATCAATGTGAGAGAAACACATTGATCGGTTACCATCCTGGGCTGCAATTGAGACTGCAACGGAGGTATATACTTTTTTCAGTCCAAAGGCCGATGCTCTAACCACTGAGCAACTGGCCAGGGCCAGGGCTGCATTTTTTAAATAACTGGGAAAAAATAAAAATAAGTAATATTTTGTGATATGGGGAGATTATGTGACATTTAGAATTTATCATTCATAGATAGTGTTTTATTGCATCACAGCCATCCTCATTCCTTTATGTTTGTCTGTGGCTGCTTTCCTGCCACAAAGGCAGAGTTGAGTAGTTGCAGCAGAGCTTGTATGTAGTACTCACACTTCTCAGTGCTGAGTGCTGTTTGGCGCACTACTAATTGCACTGGCACAGCTAAAATTTGTATTACAGTACCACGTGTATCGCTGTACTGTGATGTTTTGTTTTGTTATCCGTTCTTTATCTATCATGCCAAAACAAGAAAAGAGAAAAGTCAATTTTTAGTTGGAAAAGCAGTTGTATGTTCTAAGCTCAAACTACAGTTCCAGCATTATTCTTTTTGTGGGGGGCAGGTGGTTATCTCCGTGCAAGCACGAAAGAAATTTCCACGTTTCATACTTCATTTGACTCTGCAGTTGAGGAGCTTCCACCCAGTCTTCAGTCAGGACTCACTAAGCTGCAGTATAATGACATGCTAGCAGGCAAAAATCAAGAAAAGAATCTAATATAATTCTACAAACACTTTCCAAGCAATGAATGTGCCCAATTAAAATTATATGTGTATGGCCCTAACCAGTTTGGCTCAGTGGATAGAGCGTCGGCCTGTGGTCTGAAGGGTCCCCAGGATCAATTCCAGTCAAGGGCATGTAACTTGGTTGCGGGCACATCCCCAGTAGGGGGTGTGCAGGAGGCAGCTGATCGATGTTTCTCTCATCGATGTTTCTAACTCTCTATCCCTCTTTGTAAGAAATCAATTATATATATATATATATATATATATATACTTACATATCAGTACTAGCAGTACATAACTGTACAAAAAGACATATTTCAAAGATAAAACATGTAAAATTTTGCCCTGACTGGTTTGGCTCAGTAGATAGAGCATTGGCCTGCAGACTCAAGGGTCCCAGGTTCAATTCCAGTCATGTACCTTGGTTGTGGGCACATCCCCAGTAGAGAGTGTATGAGGCAGCTGATCGATGTTTCTCATCAATGTTTCTAACTCTCTATCCTTTTCTCTTTCTCTCTGCAAAAACTCAAAATATATTTTTTTAAATATGTAAAATTTTACAGATCAATATTAACAGATAAACATTGCAGTCAATTTTTATGATAGGGAACACTGATTTTTGAACCCCAACTCAGCAAAAAGTTAACTTTTTAAGAAGATTTTCATTCTTCTCATTAGTAGACCTGTATAACAAATTTATACTGTTGTTATTATTATATTTTGAATGTCATCAATAAAAATGTTGTGGAAATTTTATTCTCTCTTGCTATATAAGTACTCTCATGACATTCTTCTTTTTCCTGTTGGTTATTTGCTTATTTGTTAATCTGACCTTGATTTACTTTTCCTTAATCCTGGTTTACAGTTCCTTAATTAGAATGCTTCTTTCTAATTTACTCTTAATCCAGAATTTCCCAAATTCGCTTGATCATAGTCACTAGACATACTTGTTAAAAACACAGACTATGCCAAAACCGGTTTGGCTCAGTGGATAGAGCATTGGCCTGCAGACTGAAAGGTCCCAGGTTCGATTCCGATCAAGGGCATGTATATTGGTTGCGGGCACGTACATTGGTTGTGGGCACATCCCCGGCAGGGGGTGTGCAAGAGGCAGCTGGTCGATGTTTCTCTCTCATCCACTTTTTAGCTCTCTATCCCTCTTCCTTCCTCTCTGTGGAAAATCAATAAAATATTTTTTTTAAAACAAAAAAAACACAGACTACATTCTGATTCAGCCAGAAAATTTAATCTTATGATCAAGGAAATTTGGGAAGCAGTCTCATACTATAGAGATTTACCTCTGAGCCCTTAGCCTACTGGTACATTAAATAGCCTCTGTTAGTTCTCAATTCTTTAATTGCTTCTTATTTAGGCTTATTATTAGTTCTGCTAATCACCCCCACCCCTGCCCCTTCCCCAATCACCTGAATAAAATACCACCATCTGTTATTCATTTCATAGGTGGATCTGCTTGAAGTCAAATCTACAAATTTGGAGACTATCCCTTGTTTTACACAAGAACAAGTGTTGAGTCTAAGCTATACCAGAAGCTTTTATTTAGACAATAACAGCCTTTAACACAGATTGGGATCAACAAAAAGATCATATTAAAAAATTAAGCCTGCCCCTGGCCAGGTGGCTCAGTTGGTTGGAGCATCATTGGTACCCCTAAGGGTTGTGAGCTGGATTCCTGGTCAGGGCACATACAGAGATTGCAGGTTTGATCCTAGTTATCTACATAAGGGAAGCAATCTCCTGTGGCCCCTACCCCCAGCCAGCTCCGCTCCCAATCAGGCCCCATCCCCACCCCAAAGGGTGCGGGGCCAGCCAGCCAACCTCCTTCGGCCCCTCCCCTTGGCCAGGCCAGCCAGACCCTACCAGTGCACGAATTCGTGCACAAGGCCTCTAATAGATAGATATGACTGGAAGAATGAATAGTCTCTAAAGATGTCTTTCTCTTGCCTATCCTTGGAGGATTTGTGGTCATGGGGGGTGGGGGGCGTTTGATCATTCCAAATATTGGTCCTCATTTACTTAAAAAGGTTTGAGTATAAAAATAAATGGCTTTGCTTTAGTTCATTTTTCACACTGGTTGTATTTGCTGTTACGTATTTGATGGTGAGAACAATAAGAATTATTCTTAGCCTTACTTATGAAAATCATATTTAAAAATCCAAGCTATTTTAATTAAAACAATTGTTTCTTTTCTCATTGACTTCTAGATGAAGCCAGCCTGTATAAAAGCCCTTACTCGTATATTTAAAATATCTGATCAAGATAATGATGGCACTCTCAATGATGCTGAACTCAACTTCTTTCAGGTAACCTTCCTCTTTTTCTGGTGTTTGTGTACCTTGTTTTTGTGTGTTTGAGGGGAGAGGGTGGCTGAGAAAAGCTATCAGAATTTATTAGCTTAAACAATGATTTGTTGATAAACTTGAGTCTGTTTCATGTAAAAAGTATCTTTCGCCAGGACCAGTTTGGCTCAGTGGATAGAGCATTGGCCTGCAGACTGAAAGGTCCCAGGTTCGATTCCGGTCAAGGGCATGTACCTTGGCTGTGGGCACATCCCCAGTGGGGGGTGTGCAAGAGGCAGCTGGTCGATGTTTCTCTCTCATCAACATTTCTAACTCTCTGTCCCTCTCAATTCCTTTCTGTGTAAAATCAATAAAAAATATATTAAATAAATAAATAAATAAATAAAGTATCTTTCATATCAAGCTATTTAAGTATTTGCTTAGGGTATAAAACTCTTATGCATAGGAATCAAGGATACTCTTTGATAGGGTTATTTCATGGTACACAATGAATGTGTATTAAGGATGACAAAATCTGGCCGAGACCGGTTTGGCTCAATGAATAGAGCGTCGGCTTGGGGACTGAAGGGTCCCGGGTTCAGTTCCGGTCAAGGGCATGTACCTTGGTTGCGGGCATATCCCCAGTAGGGGGTGTGCAAGAGACAGCTGATCGATGACTCTCTCTCATTGATGTTTCTAACTCTCTATCTCTCTCCCTTCCTCTCTGTACAAAATCAATAAAATATTTTTTTTTTTTTTTAAAGATGCCGAAATCTGAACTCTGAGTTATTTTTCATTCTTGGTTTTATTTAACATAGCTTCACAAAGAGCCCCATGTTTTAGAAATATGAAGGGGAGAGTAGGGAAAGTTTCTTTCCTTCTAAGTGACATTTTACATAAAATACAAGGCAGAGACCATCCTAATTTATAATTTGTTTCTTTTGGTTGCAACTCATTGATTTAATATTGCTTTTTAGACTAATGTTTTTATATATTGTATATTTAATGCTGATTTTTGTTGTGTGTTTTTGTTTATTTGTTTGTTTGTTTTTTTGCTAGAGAATTTGTTTCAACACTCCATTAGCTCCTCAGGCTCTAGAAGATGTCAAGAATGTAGTCAGAAAACATATAAGTGATGGTGTGGCTGATAGTGGATTGACACTGAAAGGTGAGTGAATGCTGTTCTTCCCTTTTTGAACTCGATAATTTCAAAATTTGGTATAAGGTCTTTATAGCATTATTTATACTTTAAGGAAATGTTAGTTTTACTCATATATATGAAATCTAACTTGGACATGTAGGAGTTGGAATAGACAGGCAGTTTGGTGTGGATAGTTATCTTCACTGTCAGCATAAATTATAGGAAGTGAAGTTGGTGGGATCTCAGGAATGCTGACGTCCACCTGAAGGAGAAAGATTTCTGGAACAAACAAATTTATCTTAAAGTCCTTCTGATTCATAAGCATCCTTTAAGTAGAAATTACTTTTAGGGAAGACATTTTGCCTATCAGTCAGATTTACAGAGTATACAATGTTCCCTGTAGATTGTGTGATAGAACACGGTAAAAATAAGAAATGAAATTGAAAACCAGAACTTTTTATCATAAAACGCAAAGATCCATAACACAATTTCCTTTGTTTTTATCACCTAACTTTGTGAATGTCAGTGTATTCCTTGGGATATGCTTTGGCCCTTTCTTCTGGTGCCATCTCTTGCTGACCTGGGTATAAAATATATGGAATGATTCTGAAACCAGCTCTGTTTTTATTGAGATACTTGTGAATTTTGTTTTGATTTGACCGTCAGTGTGCAAAACTATTAAGCCTAGGTTAATGACTGTGGTGCTAGCCATTATGTGTTGCATGCTTTTTTTCCCATGTGAGCCTATGCTCCTCTTCACATCAACTGTGCTCACTAATTCATTTTATTTCAGGTTTTCTTTTTTTACACACACTTTTTATCCAGAGAGGGAGGCATGAAACCACTTGGACTGTGCTTCGACGATTTGGTTATGATGATGACCTGGGATTGACACCTGAATATTTATTCCCCTTGTATGTATCTTTGGCTCTCTAATTAATTTTACTTGCCAAGTATTTTAAAGTTTTATTTAGCACATAGGTAGGCTTTGGGGTACTCAGGAATAATTTAGGTTTTATAGAGAGATTAGAAATAGGGTTTCTCAAACTCGGCTCTATTGACATTTTGGTCTGGATGATTCTTTGCTGTGGAGTCTGTCCCATGCATTATAAGATTTTTAGAACATCCTTCGATGCCAGTAACACCTCCTTCCCACAACTGTAACAAGTGAAAATGTCTAGCATCTCTAGAAGTCGCCAAATGTTCCCTCAGGACTAAAATCATCCCCAGTGGAGAGCCACTGATTTGTAGAATGGCTCAGACTTTCCTTTTCTTCTCATGGAGAATACAAGTGTTTTTTGTGTATGATATATATATATATATTAATATATATATATATATATATATATATATATATATCTATCTTTATTGATTTCAGGGAGGAAGGGAAAGGGGAATTACGTGTGTGTGTGTGTGTGTGTATATATATATATATATATATATATATATATATATATATATATATACATCAATGGTGAGAGAGAATCACTGACTGGCTGCCTCCTGCATTGCTACACACTGGGAATTGAGCCCACAACCCAGGCATGTGCCCTGATTGGAAATTGAACTGACCTCCTGGTTTGTAGGTGGATGCTCAACCACTGAGCCACGCTGGCCAGGCTACAAGTATTTTTAAAAATTCTACTGAGAAAAAAGATAAAATATGCTAGGCAAACTGTTTTTGAAGTCAATAGATGAGAAGTATATTGGTTAACTTTTTTTTTTTTTTTCATTAGCCCTTCTCCTTCCTAAGGTTTATAGTCTGTTCTTAGCTTAGGATAAAATAAGCGTTTTTTCCTAAACAAGCAGTCTATTTGTAATTGTTTTTCTTTAAATAGTGCTGTGTTTATGTTCTGTTTGTTTAAAAATGGACCCAGCCCATCTGGAGTGGCTCAGTCAGAGCATCGTCCCGTGCACCAAAAGGTTGCCCATTCAGTTCCTGGTCACGGCAGATATCTGGCTTGCAGTTTGGTCCCCAGTTGGGGCATATATGGAAAGGCAACGATCAATGGTTCTCTCTCTCCTTCCTGAACTTCCTCTCTCTAAACATGTCCTTGGGTGAGGATTAAAAATAATCCTATCACTAAAACCGGTTTGGCTCAGTGGATAGAGCATCAGCCTGAGGACTGAAAGGTCCCGGGTTCGATTCCGGTCAAGGGCATGTACCTTGGTTGCGGGCACATTCCCCAGTAGGGGGTGTGCAGGAGGCAACTGATCAATGTTTCTCTCTCGTTGATGTTTCTAACTCTCTGTCCCTCTCTCTTCCTCTCTCTAAAAAAAAATGAAATACATTTTTTAAATATATTCAATAAATATATACTTTTTATATTTTTATATATATATATTTATAAATATATATATATAATATATATTTTTTTTAAATAGGACCAACCTTTAAAAAAATAATGATAATCTATCTAATAAAAGAGTAATAGGCAAATTAACTGTCACTCTGCGACAAAAATAGCGGCAACCATAGCAGACACTGGCAGTATCGCCCTAGCAACACAAGCCCAGCGCCTGTTTCTTGGCTGCGAAGGGAGAGGAGGGGCCTATGGGGACAGGAGCCCATAGCATCCGCATCCCAGCTGCACAGAGGGCGGGAAGGGGCCTGTGGGGACACAAGCCCAGAGTTAGCACCCTGGCTGCGTGGAGGGAGGGGAAGACCCAGAAAAATGGATCTTTCCAGTTCCTGATGCTGATGGAGCCCTATGGGTGCCAGGGCCCTCCACCTGCAGCCCCTAGTCACAGCCCGGCAGCCCTAGTCTCAGACTGGAAGCCCCTTGCCTGCAGTCTGGACGTGACCAGCATGATGCCATGACGGGGCGGGGATGTCTAGCAGACGCCTGCAGATATCAAATCACTGCTGCCAAGGTCGTCCCCCACCCCCTGCACTCAAAAGTAGTATGGTCCAAGGGGGCAACTTCTGAGGCGCAGCTCTCTCGGCAGCAGATACACACCACGCAGGGCAGGGAAGCTGGACCTGAGAACCCAAGCCCCCGAGTATCCTAGTTGTTGGGCATTATGGGCCAGGGCCCTGAGGAAGACCCAGGATAAGCATCTTCCCAGAGGCTGCAGGAAAGATGGGAGGAGCTTCTGGCTAGAGGCCAGGGTGAGGGATGCTAGTTTCGTTGCAGGCTGGGCTGAGGGACACCTCCCCCTCCCCCGCACCCCTGTGCATGAATTTCGTGCACCGTGCCTCTTGTGATAAATAATAAAAATGTGCCCAGTGTCACCCCAAAACAGGAGCCTGCCTTGCTGTAGGATGCCACTCCTATAATAGGGAAGTGACTTCCCAAAGTCTGGCCTTTGAAGCTTTGGCCTTTCTTCTTCACTTTTTCAGCAGCGTGTAATCTTCATGTCATCCTTTTTTATTTTAGCATAGCACCCCTATGCTAAAATAAAATATGCAGAACTAGTATGTAAAAGGACTTTGTCATTTGTTTTTCCCCCCTATCATTAAGGAAGCAGAGTTCTTTCTGGTTGGATTCCTGGTCCATCAATCAGTTCTATCTTGAAACCTCTCTTGTCAAAGTTACTAAATTAAATTTTGGCTCCAGTAATTTTCCAGCCTTTTCAATAAATCTATATTGAATGAATGAATGAAATTGTCCATAACGTTTTTGTCAAGATTTTTTTTCTGTACCATTTATGTGGGTAGATAAATTCTACAAGGGGTTGCTTATTGCTTTCTTAAGTATGACAGTGAGAAAACTCCCATCCCTTATGGCTCTGTGGCTCTATTATCTCTTTCAGTGTCTTTATTTCTCTGCCTTGAATTTTCAGCAAAATAGCTGCTTAGAGCTGCCACTTGAATTTTTCTAGCTTTCTTATTAAACTCTGCCTCTGTCCTTCATACTGTTGCTAGATTGAATAGGTATATAAATACAGATGTAACCTTGGCACTTCCCTTCAAGACAGGATAAAGCCCAAGCTTCTTAACATGGTACATGAGGTCATTCCTGATCCGCTCATGCTCACTCCCTGCCTTCATTCTAGAAGTAAATACGAAACTATTTATAGTCCACCAATCATATTTTCTACCCATGGTATTTCCACTCTTTCCCTCCCTCTCCCCTCAACCTAATTAATTCCTCTTATCCTTCAAGTCTCAATTCATTTGACAGTGTCTCTCAGCGGCGCTGACACCTTCTATCCCCAGGACACAGATGTTCCAATTCACATGGGCTTCCCGAGCATCCTCAGCTTGCCCATACTTGTCCCATTCTGTTGCAATAATGAAGTTATCTGTGGTCCATCTCCTACTTGAATGTGGTTTCTTAGAGGGAAGAAGCTTGTCTTCTTTTTGTATCCCTAATACCTGGCTCAGTGCATTTGATAAAAGTTTATTAAACTAAATTTAGGGATAATCAAAAAGGTCAAATCGGGCATAAATAACATCTCTTTGCATCATTTTCAACTCATTACCGTGTTGACATAATTATGACTCACAATTTGTTTATAGAGGAGGAACAAACCTGTTAATGGTTTAATCAGTATTATTTATTTAAAAAAAATTATTTCAACCTGCCCTTCAGATAGTTAAGAGCACTTTACATGTCAACTCGGAATGAGCATTATTTTGACCCTAAGGCTTGCCAGGCCACTCTGGTGACTTTCCTCTGGAAAGTCCACCTGTCTGGCAAGGATATTGTGTGAGTGGTGTTTTCCCACAAAAAGACTTGTTGCAGTTTTATATTCATTTCTTAAAATTAAATTTCAATATTTGATTAATGATTTGTTTTACTCTTAAATTTTATCATCAACAGGCTAAAAATACCTCCTGATTGCACTACTGAATTAAATCATCATGCGTATTTGTTTCTCCAAAGCACCTTTGACAAACATGATTTGGTAAGCTTTTAGCTGTAATTTTCCATGATGTTTTTCAATGAGTGATTTAACTCTGTTCCCTTAGTTTTGGGGTATTCATGTCCCGTAGTCAAAAATTGCCTATGTATAAGATGACCCCCTAATTTTAGTTAAAACATAGGTTTAGGCCTATATTCACTGTATAAGACTACCCCCCCCACTTCCGAGGCAACACCAGTTCTTTTTTTAATAGACCGCCTATCTGACTCTGGCCAATCTGAGCAGGCTTTTTACTAATAGAACACAGTGTCATCTTATATGCCGGAAAAATACGGTGAACTCTCTTAAGTTAAACTAGCAAAAGTACTCCTATTTTTATTGTTTTCTCAAGATGAAAAAGTTTAGTTTTAGACTCTTGTATAAGTTTTCTTATAAACATGTAAGACATTTCCTTGATAAAATGTAAAATTTCTTTTTATATGTTAGTTTTTAGAAGCATAGATTTACTAGACAAGGGGCTTTCATGTTTGGGAATCTAACATTATGTATACTTCCTTGTGTATCTTCAGGATAGAGACTGTGCTTTGTCACCTGATGAACTTAAAGATTTATTTAAAGTTTTCCCTTACATACCCTGGGGGCCAGATGTGAATAACACAGTTTGTACAAATGAAAGAGGCTGGATAACTTACCAGGGATTCCTTTCCCAGTGGACGTGAGTATAGAGCTCACCTGTTTGCTCTAGAATTACCACTACTTTAGAATTACGTTGCATTATGTTAATCATTTTGTAAGTTTTTCAGATCTTACTAGGTGTTTCAATCATAATAAGCAGGATAGGGAAGGGATCTGTTTGCTTTCGGATGATGTACATGGAAACAGTAATAACTCATATAAAAAGTGAGCTAAATTTTAATCTTTTTTTTTCTTTTAAAATTTTTTTATTAAATTATTATCTGTGTACATATCTTACCATTCCCCCTCCCCCATCCTTTTTTTTTATTAAGAGAATTAGAAACATCATTGCTATTGCAAAATTCTTTACACCTTTAGTATATGGGAAGAGCATATCTTGACACTGAAGACTTAAGGGTTTTCATTGTTTGTCACGCACTCTTAGTGAGTGTTTGTCTACAGTCTGGGTATAGCCTAGCAGACATTGTATTTAGGATGCTAAGGAAATCCTCTGGTCATATATGAGGACATCATTTCTTTAATCTTGGTGAGAGTAATTTTTCTTAATACCAGAATCTATTCTTTTTTCAAATCATAAAAAGACTACTTAATTTCAAGTAATTAGGTAAGGATGTTGTGTGAGTGGTGTTATCGCACAAAAAGACTTGTACCTTTTAGTTATTTTTGCTCCATTCACAAACCTTTTCAGATTATCATTAAGTGCTCAACTAGCCAGTATTTGCAGTGTACTATGTAAGTTGGGAAGCAAATAATTTTCAAAAATCCCTGCTCTAGATTTACCAGCAGCTCACTGCTCATCTATGTGGCCTTGCTCTCTCTGGGCAGGGAGATATGGAATCCCCCCACATCTTGCATTCTCCTCCCTTCTCTGTCTTAAGAATGCTTTGTAGAAAGGGCCCTGGTTGGGCACATGGGAAATTAAAGCAGCCTGACAAAAGTCATCTACATCTGGTGGTAAAATTCTTTGAGCTATTGGAATTTTTTTTCTATAAATGTTCATTAAGGAACTTCTCACATTTTAAACTCTATTTCTTAGGCTCACAACCTATTTAGATGTACAGCGGTGCCTGGAATATTTGGGCTATTTAGGCTATTCAATATTGACTGAACAAGAGTCTCAAGCTTCAGCCATTACAGGTAAGTAAATATAATTAGTAAAAAAAAAAAATTAGAAACATTTTGAAGGTTCCACTTTCATATGTAAAAAAAGTGAACATAAATATATCTTTGCTAGTCTTCCATGTCTACACTCTTATTTGTTTTCCCTGTGATTTGATCATTCCTTTTGCATGAAGATGCTTGATTTTATTGTTTATCAGAAAAGAAAGCATAGTTTTTACTTCTAGTTTACCCCTGAGGCTACTCCACTGATGAAAATCAGGGGGAGCCACAGGCATTAAAAATACAGTTAACAGTGCTTGGCATGAAGTAAATATGTGTTTTAATTTTTTTTGAACATTAAAACAATGCATATTAACACATAAACCTGATATTGAACTGATTGTACATCTCTCAGCTTTGTAACCATTTTCCACATTCATAAGTTTTTCACAAATCTTATAATTCTTGCCAAGCAATGTCCCCCTTTTAAAGAAAACCCATAGGAATGAAAATAACACATTAGGGAACTGATATATCAAGAGTTTCTTATATCCCAATTGCGGGGGAGCGGGGAATGCTGCATCTTACAGGAAGCCCCAGCACAAGAAGACAGCCAATCTTAAAGTGACAGAGCCCTATATCTTAATCAATGAACAAACAGTATTTTAATTCATCATCAAAGAGTAAGGAACTAATTGCCAGCCAGTATGAGGCTTTTTTCATGCAACAAAATACTGTGAACATCTTTCTATATCATTAATCGACTTTTATGTATCTTTGGTGCTAAATAATGTGTCATCATATAACTTATTTAACCCATAACTAATATGTGTTTTTTATCATTTTCAGTTATTTGCCTCTGGTGTGCTTTGTTGCAATTGAATCTTTAGCTATAGCATAGGGTCTCTGTACCTCAAAAGGAAATGCCCTATTTCTTGGCTGATACAGCATTGTTTCCTGGCCTGCCTCTTTTACAGATTTCCATTGGAAAGGCCAGTTAACCCCAGAGTGCATATCCCTTGACCATTGATAGATCCAAGAGAGTGCTGATTTCAGAGAGCATCTTTTAGCTTGTAACTCATTATGACAATAACTTATCACAGAAAAAAAAGATAGGTGAGATATAATGTAGGCTATATTTATTGTAATTTTAATTCATTTTTAAGATATCATTTTCCTTATGAAATTTATTATTATATTAGAGGCCCAATGCACGAATTTGTGCACTGGTGGGGTCCAGTCGGCCTGCCCCGATGGGGGCTGGTCGGAGGCGGGGCTGGCCAGGTCAAGGGGCCGCAGTTGTTCCAGTCATTCGGTCGTTCTGCCATTTGGTCGCTGGGCTTTCATTATATAGGATATATTTCATTTGGTTACTTGAAGGTCACTTGGCAGCCAACTTTTCAGATATGCATCTTTTCCACTAAGTGAGGCCCTTCTGTATCATATTTAGTACTTTATTTCACACACAGCTTGACTGTTGTACAGTATGTTTATTTATTGATAAGAGAAAGGTAGCAATACCCTATTTAGCTGAAGGTAAATGAAGGTCAGTGAGTCTAAGTGGTACATAATTAGTTGTGTGTTTTTTTTCCTTTTTAGTAACAAGAGATAAAAAGATAGATCTTCAGAAAAAACAGACTCAAAGAAATGTGTTCAGATGTAATGTCATTGGGATGAAAAACTGTGGGAAAAGTGGAGTTCTTCAGGCCCTTCTTGGAAGAAACTTAATGGTGAGAAAAATACAGTTTTATCCTACAAATTTTTATAGTCATGAGGTTATGTAATTTTTATAGCTATTAACCATTTTAGATAATTATATAACTCAATGACCTGTGTACAGTATAATCTAAAGTCTTAACAATAGTCCTATATGGTTTGGCTCAGTGGATGGAGCCATCAGCCTGCGGACTGAAGGGTCCCAGATTCAATTCCTGTCAGAGGTATGCGTCTTGGTCGAGCGCATATCCCCAGTGGGGGGTGTGCAGGAGGCAGCTGATCGAAGTTTCCCTCTCCCTTCCTCTCTGTAAAAAAGGCAATAAAATATATATATTTTTAAAAATAAAGTGTAACAATAATTCTGTTGAACTGGCTTTATCTTTGCTTATTTATTTATTTTCAATATACTTTTTTATTGAATTTATTGGGGTGACATTGGTTAATACAATTACAAAGGTTTCAGGTGTACAATGTTATATAATACGTTACCTGTATATTGCGCTATGGTTCACCACCCTATCTTTGGTTTTTTTATGTTGGCTATCATTTTTTTTTTAAATCAGTGTTTAGATGAAAATTAAATGAATGTACTTGTGAAAGTCCTGAAAGTGCTTGGCATGAAGTGAATATATAGTAAAGACTTAGAATGGAATGCTGAAATCCCATTCTGACTGCTGCTGTGAGTAAGGAGATTGACGTGTTTCTAGATGAGTCTCATATCAGATAAAATTATAGCATAATGAGAAGTGCCAGCAGGCGGCTCTGGAATACAGTTTCAGTAATGTAGTTTACTTCCTTTTCAGTCATTGCCTTCACAAGTACTGAGCAAATGCATCTTTTGTTTTAGACCTTAAGAACTAAGAAACATGAAGTCAGTGCCTCCTTTGTATTGAAAAATAATATATAGTGCAGGGAAGAATGCCCTTTTACTTGACAGACCCTCAGGTATATGTATTGATGACAACTAGTTGCTGTAATATCTTACTATAAAAATTAAAATTTTTGGTTGTTTTCAGAGGCAGAAGAAAATTCGTGATGATCATAAATCCTACTATGCGATTAACACTGTTTATGTATATGGACAAGAGAAATATTTATTGGTAAGTTTTCTGGTATATAAAGATGATTAATTATTTCGTATATTTTTAAAAAGACTCTTTGGAAACTAATTGGGTTTAATTTAATGGCTGTATGTGGAACTTTCATGTGATTCCTCCCCCCCCCCAAACCTGGCTTATTCATTGGAATTAATTTTAATTCCCTTGATATTTATGGTAATTACAAGGGTATAGCTATAAGTAAAAATTCATCTATTTGTGTGTTTAATTGTATGTTATACTACAATAAGAAACTAAAAATATTAACTACTTTTTCTTGCCCTTTTATTTTAAAATATTATTCTCTACTGTTAATTAGAAATTAATATGAAAACCTTAGTGCAGGTGCTTGATAGTGTATCTATAATCAGAATTGAGTTTTACCTGTTTAGTGGGGAAGGAGTATACTTAACAAATGTGTGAGCCTAAGAAAAATGAATGAAAGAAGGGTATAACTGAAAAGAAATGCAGTAGAGAGAGATTAATATGTTCTCTTTTGACCCAGCCAGATTTCATTTTGAATGCTGGTTGACCATTGATTAGCTGTGTTACCTCAGGCAAGTGGCTTACTCTCTTTGAGCCTGAGTTTCTTAAGTTAGCTAATATTAGAAACATTATAATGTTCTGCCAGACAAATGATTACTTGAGTTTTACTCTATGATAAAAGTTTTTTGCCAGTTTCTTATTATACCTTATTTATCTCCTATTCTTTACTGAGTAAATATTGCTGACTGTTAATTTTCCTGTTTTTATTCTTACAGTATTATTTGTAAATTAGCATCTTTCACGTCTGAATGCTCGTGTTATAATAGTGTTTTATTTGGAGTATATTGAGTCACTTCTGACTCTACACTTCCCCTTTCTTCTCTTCAACAAAGAGGCATATCTTATATAACTCAGTCCCGGATTTTACTTTGTTGGATTATTATCATATCATAGATGAGATATTTCTTTAGAAGTTTTACAGTTAACATTTAAAAAGTGCAGGCAATAAAGAAGAACAAGTGGAGCATAGTGTGAAAAGTTCTTTGCTTTGTGGTTTTGATTGGTGGGGAGAAAAGGTATTTGATAGAATGAAAATAGACTTTGAATCATATCTATGTTGAAATTTTGGTGCAATGATTTGTTAGAAGTGTTATTTTAAGCAGTTGACTTAATCTAATAGCCTGTCGTCTTATCTATAGAATGTAGAGAATGCTGGTTAAGGGTCTACCCAGTACACTTTAGTCACTCAATAAATGTTAGCTCTTATGTATCCCAATCACCTTATTTATTTCACAAAATGAGAAGATACTTATTCGCACTTCCCACTTCTAAAAATGGTCTGAAAATGTATGCTTAACTAGTATCTTTTATTTAGGAAGTTAAGTTAAACAAATTGTAAAACATCGTGACTTTAATTATTCATTGATTTTATATTTATGTTTCTCATTTTTTTTCCTTTTACAAGTTGCATGATATCTCAGAATCGGAATTTCTAACTGAGGCTGAGATCATTTGTGATGTTGTATGCCTCGTATATGATGTCAGTAATCCCAAATCCTTTGAATACTGTGCCAGGATTTTTAAGGTTTGTTGCTCTTTTGGTGTATAACTAAGTTTACTTTCTATGCAGTTTAATGGAACTGTAATGTGGTGGTTTCTAATCAAGAAAATCATTTGTGGAACTTTTAAAAAGTGTATACATCTGTGTCCTGTCCCTAAAGGTTCTGGTTTTGTTCTAAGGTGTAAGGTTCCAGACATCTGTATTTTTAAAAACATTTTTTTTTCCAGGCATGGCTCTGATGTGCATTCCTGGTTAAGACCCCCTGTATCAATGGAAGGTCTTCTTGGCTGTTAGGGATGCACATGGGTTGTGTATTGCCAGGTCCGTCATGAATAACAGAGCAAGGGGGAAAACCAGAGGCTTAAAAAGTTATTAGTCACTTTGAGATTTTAACAAGATTTGATTCTTTTATACATAAAACTATAGGTACAAAGGAATTTATTCTAGCATTATTTTTAATAGCAAAAAACTAGAAATAATTTAGATGTCTAAGAATAGGAGAGGATATTTTACCAAATTAAGATAAAATAATCCAGTGGTCTATTAAACAGCCATTAAAACCAATGGTTTTGACTTCTGAAAACATGGGAGATTCGGTATTATATATTTTTTAATGTTTATATCCAGCATGGCGGACACTATATAAAATTAGTATATAAATGCATGTGCTTAAGGACTGAAGGTAGCCCTCACCTGTTTGGCTCAGTGGATAGAGCACAGACCTTTGGATTGAAGGGACCTGGGTTCGAGTTCAGCCAAGGGCACATGCCCAGGTTGCAAACTCAATCCCCAGTGTGAGGCATGCAGGAGGCAGCCAATCAATGATTCTCTCTCATCATTGATGTTTCTATCTCTTCCTCTCCCTTCCTCTTTGAAGTCATTGAAGGCAATACGAAAAAAGAAAATAGTGTGCTTTAGAATAGAGGACTTTATGGAACTTTTTTTATTTCAAAATATGTCTTTTTCATTAAAAAAAATTTCAAATTCGATGAATCTGAGGGTGCATTACAGGTTTATATTGTTACCAGCATTAGAAAAGTGGCCCTGGTCGTATTATGAGACTGACCTGGACCACTATTGTTGCTTTGCCTATCCAGAGAAAAATTTCAGTATACATTTAATTAAACAGTAATTCTTGAACTTGTCATCAGATTTTTGTTTCATTTTTTATTCCACAGCAACACTTTATGGATAGCAGAATACCTTGCTTAATCATAGCTGCAAAGTCAGACCTGCATGAAGTTAAACAAGAATATAGTATTTCACCTGCTGATTTCTGCAGGAAACACAAAATGCCTCCACCACAAGCCTTCACTTGCAATACCACTGAGGCACCCAGTAAAGATATCTTTGTTAAATTGACAACAATGGCCATGTACCCGTAAGTACTCACTCTGCCATCATTTTCATGTTGCATGGTTCACAACGACATCGCATGCCATTATTAGCCATGAGGGTGGAACCTTTGTCCATAGAAGTTGTTCAGCAACAGAAAGAGATTATAATGAGAAGGTACAAATTTGAGAAAAATGCACATTTGATTTGGGTGCCATAATAAATTTATTTAAACAGTGCTGACAGTATTTGAATGTATTTGAGCATGCTATAACTATCTTAATAGGGTAGTATAATAAAACTAAGCTCCCCACCCAGCATTAAAAAAAAAAAAAAAAAAAAAAAAGTCTTTACTGCAATAAAGTGGGGTTGGCACATATTGCTTTATGCTTGTAAGGTATTTCCATATGAACAAAGTTCATTTATATATTTTTCTGTTGACTAATTGACCTTGAGTGTGTGAGGGATACTAAAATCTTTTATAAAGTTAAATTATGGGTATATTTGAGTTCAGAATATGATGTCTTTTTTAAGTGCTGTAAAAAGTAGTTGTAATTGGAATTCCTGCTATATAAATGTTTTACATTGTGTTATACCACATTTATGTACATTTATTGTATATCTATACATGCACATGCACAAGCTCATAACTGGTCATCTTCATAGTTTACTAACTGCCTTAAAATTGCATGGTTCTTAATTCTCCTCTAGCACTATGTATAAATTCTGTTTTGTAACAAGATAGTTTTCAGGCAGTGCGTTTCTCAGGACTTTATAGTTTATTTATAATTGTTATTCTCTAAATTATTATTCTTATGAAAACTACAGTATGAAAGAGTAATCAAACATTGCTGTAAGCTGAGTTTTTTTCAGAAAGTTGTTCATTACAGATTTTTCTAGTCAGAGTTAACTTGACTGCTATTCCATTAATTAATACTTTCTTAAAAATGCAGTAAACTCTTGCAGTTCTATTTACGTTGGAAGACAAGTCATTTCTATTACTATAAGATAAGCACAGCCTTATTTATGTTTTACCTTTGCTTTAAAACTGTCATATATGTATCTACAGAGAGGATCATTACAGAGACAAACTCTCCCGAGACACGGGCAACACTGATAGAATAGAGAATTTGAGAAAAGTCTGGGTCTTTCTAAAAACAGCTTTGTAAGTTATTTTTTCTTTATGGCTTCTGTGGGATTTTGTTGACATTTTCTTATAGATGAGCAAGTCTTCTTTCTTGCCATAATTAAGACTTAGTGATTATCCAGAAACGCACTGCTTGGTCAGGCTTACTGCTTAACTGTGTATTATGGTGTCCTTTGTTTACTGTGTAAATGCACTATTTTAATCTTGCAAATAACTGCACCTTTTAGACCTGTATCTTTTAATATTTTACTGCACTTTGTGTGTATGTGTGTGTGTGTATGATAAATGTACATATTTGGACACTTGTTTATATGGTTAATCCCAAACTCCTTCTCATGAAGCATCTCCCTGTTGCTAAGCATACTTTGCACCCTTCCTTTTTGGTGGGTGGAGCCGGTGTATGTTGAACAGTCTGACTCAGTATTTATAAAGTAAGAGATGGATTCCAGTATGACAGCTGGCAGCGACTTAGTAGCAGTGATATGTTCATCATCACAAGTCAAGTTTTGAATTAATTCTTGTTTTTCTTCATGTTGGGAATTAGGCATTATTGGGATGCTGCTAAATCTTCACAACCATGCCACTGTGCCCTGTGGTCTCATCCGATCTCACAAGCTAAGCCAACTCAGATTGGGCCAGTCCTTTGACTGAGAAGCCTTTCAAAAATGTTCAGGTGTTACAGGAAGCGATGGCATTGATTCACCAGGCGGTGCTCTTCCGTGGGGGTTCTGCACCAGTACCCCTCCAGGGTAGTGTGATTCAGGCTTTGTGTGTCTGATGGCTCTGACCACTGAGCAGTCATTGGAGACCCCCTACTTTGGTTGTTAGGACGGAGGTGAAATGGTTGCCCCATGTGCCTGTACCAACTAGTGCAATTCCACTCAACCAGAAAGGAATCAGAAAGCCTCTCCAAATTTCATATCTAATACCAGTTGGATCATTGTTGATTTTTATATCCTTACCCAGAATTTCATAGTAGCAGATGAAATTAACCCTATATTTTGTTCAAGATGAAGCTCTTTGATTTCCTTTGGGAATCAAGGTGCTTGATATTTCAAAGATGATGTTCATATCTCCTCAAGGTTTGAAAATACTCGTCTTTCGATTTTTGTGTGTATTTGTCACTCTTCTTCTTCCTGGTTTTCAGGCATGTGTGTATGCTGAGGGAAGAGGAGGAGGAGGAGGAGGAGGAGGGAATAGTTATTTAAATGTTAGTAAATTTTGTCCGTTTGGTGGGTGCTATGGCTTACTCAGTTTTTTTCTTTTTAATTTAGATGAGGGTGCCAGCTATTGCTGTGCATATTTATTCCACTGAAACTCCTGCGATAAGTCCATCTCCCTTGTCCTTAGATTTTCTATAGTGAGGGAGGAGGGAGCTATAGCTGTTTACTATACTTTTTATATACGTGGAATTCTGCACAACTTTAGCATGCCCCACACTATCCTTTTCCTTAGTGTTGCTTATGCCTAAATTTTTTTAATTTGGCACACCCTGACTTGTGCCATATCTGTAAGTAAGAACTCAACGCCTGTCCTTCTGTGTGTTTTCGCAGCCATGCCCGGTTACGCTGTATGTGCACCTGCAACAGGTGCACGTTTTGCATCTGTCAGAACTTCCTCAACTCAGACTTGCTGCAGTCTATAAAGAACAAAATCTTCACTGCAATTCTTAACAGGTTCTTAATTTTATTTACTGGGTACCAGGCATTCTGTTAAAATACAAAAGGAAATAGTGGATAACTATTTATTACGCTGATACTTACTTAAAAAGACAATGAGCTGACTGATGCCCAGCTAACTTCCATTAAAAATCTCACCGTGGTGACAGTAGTTAGATTTGGAATCATTCTTAGTAATGTCTCTAAATTATAGATATATTTAGGGGACTGTAAAATTTTAGGGGGTTTTTTTGTTTGTTTTTTCATTAAGGAAGCTAAAGTATGTTTCATTTAGAGGATAATATGTGTAAGGAGATTAAAAGCTTTTGGCTGAGAGTTGTGGAAATAGATTAGGACATTCGTAGTAAGGAAAGAACACATTGATCTCAAGTGTTATAATGTATTTAGCATACATTCAAATAATACAATTTATTAAATCCATACCAATAACAATTTCTTGGGTTTGAACAGATTATCTATTTTAAGTGCCTGGAATGTTTATTTGAAAGAGCATCATTTTTGGAAATGAGGATAGTAACCAACTTAGGGATTCAAAGGAATATGGAAAAGAAAAAGATCTATAGTACTAGTTTTTCAGGTCTTTATAATTGAGTCCAAAACATGACATATGCCTAGAAAGTAGTATGCTTTGAAAAACGAAAGAAAAACAGGATATATACATTTCCTCAAAGCAATGAACTTGGGAGGTTATATTCTTATTCTGGTCATGCTACCTTTGTTTACCTGTATTTTACATTTTGTGAGCATTTAAGAGCCTATGTAATATTAATTTGTATATAATGTTAAATTTTTATATGTCTGAGGATGAATTAGGATTTTGAACTCATTCAAATGTCATTGGAAAACTGGCCTTGATTAAGACAGATGATCAAGCTCAGTAGACTTGATGAGAAATGGGTCAGTTATTTTGTTTAATTGGACTCTCGCTGAGGGCTCGGCTCTGACTGTACCAGATGAGCAGGATAGTTTGTGTCTACCAGCAATATAGTAGGTGTGGCTATGAAGCAAGGAGACTGTAGCTTACGTGAGCCAGAAACAGACTGAAATCTTTCAAAATGAGCGTTGGGGAAGCTTTGAGCACTAGCAGCTCTGAATAAGAATGCAGCCATCTCAGGTGCCTGCTTTGAAGGAATCCACACCGTTTGGTGGTCACGTTCTGCCTCTGTCCCTTGAATGACACCTCTAAGGTAGCAGTGCAGATTCTCACATGGCGCCTGTCTGAGAAACTGCAGGCTAGTTCAAACCACAACGTTCAGGAGCTCTGATTTGGACATGGTAGAGTTGGAAGGGATTCTAAGATTCTTCTGACCTAACCTCCCATTAGGATGCCTTTCTGCAAGTCTTCCTGAGAGAGTGCTATTTGTCTGCTGGTGGCTTTCCTCGTTGGAGAGGGGATTTTTGCTTTTTATTTTATTATTTTACTTTTAACTAAAATGATTTCCCTATAACTTTCTTTCCTTTAGTTTTAGTTCTGCCCTTTAGAACAACACACGACTATTCTACTCCCTCTTCAACATAGCAATCCTTCAGACATTTGAAGACGGCCATCATGTCTCCCCTAATTTTCTCTTCTCCAGGTAGAACATCCCCATTTCTTTCAGCCTTTTCTTAAATTAGATGGTTTAGTGACTTCATCATTCCTGGTTGTTCTCATCTCAAAGCCCCTTAGGTTTTTTTAGAGTACCTCCTAAAAGGTGCGGCTGGAATGGAGACCAGCGCTCCAGGTGTGACCTGACTAGTCCAGAACAATGGCCAGTCGTGTTCCATGGTTAGGACAGCACCTGTCTATTGCATGAATTAACGTTTTAGCAGCCCCATCCCACTGTTGATGCATTTTAATCTTGCGGTTAATTGAAATCAGATTTTTTTTTTCATATGGTGTGCTATTAAGGCAGTGTCCCCCCCCCCCTCTCTAATTGTGTATTTGCCATTTTTAATTGACTCTTTGAATCTAATTGCAGATACATATGAATTGCTATTAAATGTCATATTCTTTTTTATCCATTTGGTCTAGCTCAGTCATTTCAAATATTATTTTGTCATTTGTCCATTATATATATCTCTCTCTCAACATTGTGTTATTTGCAAATTTTGTAGATAAGTCTTCATTATCTTTCCAGTTGTTGATTAAAAAATAAATAAATAATGTCCAATACCCAGAGATTGGAGAGAGAACTAAAAAAAAAAAAAAAAAAAAAAAAAAGCGTACTAGCCCTATCGCACTCTACTGGAGGACTCTTCTCAGTGACATGGGTTCAGAATTCTTGGGGAAATATTATTTTGGAGTTAAAAATATTTTATTATCCAATCTATAGTTTATCTTATGAGAGATTTCATGGAGGGCTTTTTAAAAATAAACAAACACTCTTTACCACATTCCTCTCACTTACCAGCATAGTAATTTCTTGGTGAACCACCTTGGCACCTAGTAACTGCTGATCACAAACCATCTATTTTATTTATTCTAGAAATCCTTGATTGTCCAGAATTGCAGATTAATTTATTGTCTGCACCTTAATGACAATTTTATTCTTAGATCAGTTTAGTCATCTTCCAAATGAAATAGGTTGGGTGTGCATTATTGGATCAGCTTGCTCATAATATATTACTCTATACAGTGATCCTCGAGCAGAAATCAGTACATTTTGTCGTATTTATTTATAAAGTAGAAATAATTCAATGGTAATGTTAAGATATATCACTGATATCTGATAATCAAGAAGGGAAGGAATGGAAAAGAAGAGGAGAAAAACATTTAAAGAGCTCCTTCCTGGTCCCTGGTAGTATTTCAATAACTTATTTCACAGAAGTACAGTGGGAATTTAAAAGTTGTATATTAAAGTTTCTTCTAGTTTACAAAAGGATGTAACTCAAGTTGGTGGGCGTGGAGGCTCAAATTGAAGGCCTACAGGATCTGGATAGAAAATGAAAATGAATGAAGGTTGCTAAGTTTCAGAAATAAGAGAGGTGGGGACTGCGAGAGCCCCTGTCTAAAAGAGGCCCCCACAACTCAGCTCTGGACTTTAGTTATTGCACAGACTTGGTGTTGCCAGGTGTTCTGATTCTGTGAGACTAGAAATCAGGGTTTTTATGTGACGTTTTCTGTTATTTAAATAGTAAATTTTAAAAGTACAAATCAGAAAAAACAAAACTTGTTTATAGGCCATCGGTTTGCAACCTCAGTCTTAAGATAGGACTTACAGTTGTAAAAATGTAGGCATACACACAACAAAGTACGCCTAAGAAATGAAAATGTCTTTTAACCCTTCTTCCCCTTCCCTGTTTTACTCCTTTCTCGAGAAAAAAAATGAGAAAGTTGCAGGGCAATGGGGTGAGAAATACTTATCCTAGTATTTCTCAGGTTTTGGCATATTTGGTGGTTGGTCACCATTGGTTTGGTGGGCTAGGTATATTTTAAATATTACATAATGATTCATTGAATACAAGTCATTTAAGAATTTTTCACTGTAATTTAGTAGGGATTCTCACTCAATACTAACTCTTAAGTCTTTGGTTTTATAACTCTGCCATGCCTAGTTTTTTTGTTTTTGTTTTTTTAGAACTTGAAAATAATAGTTTTAAATTTTTTATTTAAGCAAAAAGTTTTATCAAATTTCTGCAAAGAAATTGGTAGACAAATATTGGTACATATAGGTTGATCTCAAGTTAGCACAGTTTTATTGTGCATATAAAATTTTTTATCTCTGAAGTAGAAATAACTTCCAGAGATAACTCATGTTCGAGACCACATATTCCCTTTATCTCAAACCCCTCCTATTGACTTATTTACGTAAATACTTAAGTACCTGCTTTGGATAGGATCTGCTGTGAGCTGGGGCAAAATACGAAAATGAAGAAAATAATAGACCTATCCTTAAGTACCTTTCTAAGTATTATGTTGTTCAGAATTTTTTTTCTTTAAACTTTGGTTACGTAGTCCGATGCCAAAAAAGGAAGCGCTAGAACTCACCATGAAAGGATTTGAGCCTATTAATTATTTTATACATAGGCAAGTTTAATAGATTCATTTCTAAAATTGTCCATCTCTTCACTAGCTATGTGTTTTTGACCAGTAAAGATGGTCTTTTTTGGATCTTATTAACTGCAGTACAGATTTTAAATAGAAAATAGTAATTTTTTTTTTTATCAATTTAATTGAATGTATAGTGATTTCAACATTTGAGACAAGTGTTAAACTATGTGTTTGACATGTAATTTGGGTAATTACAGGCTCACCCTTCAGATGTGGATAAATTTATGTTTTTCTTTAGAATAATTTATGAATAACTAGAATTATTTTGATTTAAATACATTTGGAGCATGATTAATGTGGTCAGATTATTTTGATTTTTGGTAATGCTTTCATATCAGGGTAAATCATGTTACTGAGGGAATATGTCTTTTGAATATATTTTTATTTTTAAATATCTTTTTAACTATTAAAATGATTAGAGGTGAGCTCGATTGTTGGTTTGAACTACCCAGGATTTTAGTTTATTATTTTTCTGGTTTCAGACACTCCTACTTTGTATGAAGATGTTACTATACTACATAGTGCTCTGAACTTTAATTTGTCCCTTCCTTAGGTGTTCGTTTTCATTTGTTTGTCATTGACATTTAGTCACTTTTTTAACTCCTTTCAGTCCTTTTCCCAGCTAATTTTCTGTGTATACCCATTCATATTAACCTATAATTCAACCAAAATGGTTTATTTTACAGTTTATTATTTTGGTGAGATTTTCTTTGATATTTACTTTGGATTTAAGATTTCTTTTATTTCATTTTATTATTTGCACCAATCATCTAAATTATTTGTTCATGTTACTTCTTTTTAAAATATGTATTTTTTTTTTATTGATTTCAAAGAGAAAGGGAGAGGGAGAAAGAGAAACATCAATGATGAGAGAGGACCATCGATCGGCTGCCTCCTTCTGTACATCCCCTACTGGGGATCGAGCCCAAAATCCAGGCATGTGTCCTTGACTGGAATCGAACCA